AAAATGCATAAAAAAGGAATATTATTTAATATGATATTTAATTTAACATGCCAGCGCCTACTGAAGTTTAACGCTGGATTAAACAGCCCTCAGCATGACCTCCAACAATTTGGAAAAAAGCTGGTGAACAAAGATAAAGCAACGTGTTCAAACAACTACATCGGTTTTATTTGGCAGGGATATACTACTTCAAAAAGTATGGCAGCTGTTACTTTCAAAAATGCTATTTAATCAAGAAAACCACCAAAAATAGTCCGTTTAGATACAAAGGAAACTCCAATAATAATCATATATATATACTCACAACATACCACCTAAGAAATAGTCATTTTTTTAATTTATATTTTATTTAAATCTTTGATCAACACTTCATGTGAATTTTAATTTAACATTAAGCAAATCAGACAGGAAGGCTCTCATCTTTACAGTACATAGGTCTTTGTCTTTGTGCTCATCATTATTATGGTTCATCATATTCTGTCGGTGAAAATGAATGTGTCTATTATTCAGCCGTCTAAAAAAGCGTCTGTTTGTGAACAGCGCATATCAGTTCATCAAGGTACATGTACTAACATATCCATTTGCATCTTTTATTGGAGGACAGAGACACGCGAGTACGCGCGCCGTTTCATATTTCTTAAATGGAGCGTATCATCGGCATAGTTTTGCAGGAATGTCTTGATTTAACAAAGTCCTTGATAGATTCGATATACAGATTATATAGTGTTTTTTCGTTTTTTTTTTTTTCTTCTTTCTTACAAACCCGTTAACCTGTGCTGCACTAAAGTAAAATATATATATGTGTGCCTTTTTTTTCGTTGCATTAAATTGTCTACTCATAATATTTTTCTTTGTGTTCCTTGTCTTCAATTCAGTGCATGTATTATATTTTTATTATTTCCCCTGCACCTGGTAGGTCTTGCCTTCAGTTGGAGTCAGATCGACAGCAACATTTTGTTATCAAATCTTTAATATTCTCACGGTAAATGTCATTGAAAATGAGGTAGATGAAGACGTTATACACGAGAGTGAGGCTTGGTATGAAAATGGCTGCATTAAGTAAATTGAGCAACATTGAGGACGAGAGATCGTTGAGCTTTCCTTGTGCATTCAGCAACATAACAATCACCCAAAAACCATGACAAATGAACAGCAACACTGCAATTGTCACAGCATGTTTTAACACTTTTTTGTTTTGCTGTTCTCTTTTTCTTCGCTGCGCTGTTTGCTTTCCAGGTATTTTGTGGTGGTACAGTTTGCAGATCGTTAAAAGATAGGTTATTGCGATGAACAACGCTGGCAAAACACTGGTCAACGCTACTCCAACGACATAAAGGTAAACTATAGATGAAGACCGGTCCTTGTTCGATACTGAGCAGTACGATAAGCTACCATTTTGAATAATAACTAGATAGGACATGACTGGTAAATTGAGTACGGCTGAAATAATCCAAATAACTGCAATGACGTGTTTCATCTTGCCCTCGAAAGGTCTCTTGAATGGATGAGCCACGGCGAAATACCGGTCAATAGCAATGGCAACACAGCTATATGCAGAAACAGCGACAGAGGTGTCTACAGTAAAAAAAGTGAGCTTGCACTTCCAATGTCTCCAACAATCATCGATTGGCCGTCAAAGTTTATTTTAACTATCTTGACTGGAAACGAAATTAGACCAGCAATAAGATCGCTGGCCGCCATGTTGGTTATTAAATAATTAGTGGTAGTTTTTAATCGTTTGTCCTTGTAGACTATGCACATGATGAGGAAGTTTCCGATCATGGCAATAAAGAATTGAAGGGAAAATGCCACAGTCCATGGTATCTTGCCGTAATAAGGGTCAGAAATTAAAGTTTGAGTAGAGTTGCGAGAAGAATTATTAAACATCATACACATCTATAAACCTCACGCCCTGCTTGTGATGTTAAGTGAAGACGTTTAACATAAACATAATCTTTTATTCTTTATAACAGCAGACTACAATTCCGTCAGAAAATAATGATATTAAAAATGAAAGACATTTGAATTTTAACGCTGGAGTATTCTTTTACATTTGCATTATCACGGGTGATTTAGGCCGGATATTATCGGAAATTATGATTATAAATAGAAAAAACAAAGTACGTCTGAACGAGAAAAATAATGAAAAACAGCTAAAGTAGCGTTGATCTGAAAAAATATATACATTTCCCTTTTCCCATCTATCCAATTGATATTCTTTCTTGAGTAAACTAATAGCAGATGGTAGGTCTTCGGAATTATAATCATTCACAGCAATTTTGACTAACTGATGTTAATGTACAAAGATCATCTTTTTAACGTATTTTGTCTTTTAACAGATGGTTTCTTCTAGCTAGATCTTTAAATAGACTGTAGTGTCTGTTGTGGGTGTTAATATGGCATAAATGAACCGGGGTATACTACTTCAGTGGGTGAGCAAAGATAAGAGATAAAGCAACAACTACATTGTCATCAAATAATGGCTTCATTTGGCGAGGCTATACTATTTCAAAGAGTATGGGGCAGTGCAGTACTTTCAAAATACTAATACTTATGAATAATGATAGTGCGATCAAATTCTCTCTTCCCCATATTTTGTAATCATCAGTATCATATTTCACTTTACTTATAAGTGAAACTTCGGAATGTGCCTATTATTTTGCTGTGTAAATATCTCTTTATAAGCAATAGAAAAGTAAAAGYGTCTGTTTGTAGTGGACAGCACATAACAGTTCAATAAGGTACTAACACAAGTGTCATACATGGGAATGTTCTAGTTCTCGACYGAGTGTACTATTACCATCATTTGTTAAGGAATTTTTTCTTGATAGATATGATGTACNTTATATCTTTTTATAAAATTTTTCATATATAACGCGCGCTCTGATTGGCTGACGACCGTGTTTATATCATAGGACAGAGACACGGGTAACCGGCAAAATTTTCTTTTCGCTCGAAAAATTTTATAAAAGAAATATAAAACGGCCGCTTGTGTTTTTTCTTCATCTTTTCATTGTATTACATTGTACTTTACTTGAATTTCTGTACTTTGTTTCGATAATGTATTTTGTCGAATCTGTGAAGCGTTTTTCCATTTAATTTCGTCCATTCATTTCTATCGTTGGCGTTCCACCTGGTGTTTCTCGCCTCTGGTTAGCTTCAGATCGACAGCAACTTGTATATTAAAGCTTGGATATTCTCACGATAAAAATCGTTAAAGATGAGGTAGATGAAAAAGTTGTAGACAAGAGTGAGGACTGCCACGAAATCTTTCGCCTCTAGTAAATTGGAAACTATTGAGGACGAGAGATCGTCCAGCTTTCCTTGTGTATTCAGCAACACAACAGTCACCCAAAAACCATGACAAATGAACAGCAACACTGCAATTGTCACAGCATGTTTCAATACTTTCTTGTTTTGCTGTTCTCTTTTTCTTCGCTGCGCTGTCTGCAATTCAGGTAATTTGTGGTGAAAAAGTTTGTAGATCGTTAAAAGGTAGGTTATTAGGATGAGCAACACTGGCAAAACACTGGTCAACGTTACTGTAACGACATAAAAGTAAACTAAAAGTGAAGACCGGTCCTTTTTCGATACCGAGCAGTTCAATAGGTTTCCATATTGAATAATAACCAAATAGTGCAAGTTTGGTGAATTCATGAAGGCTGCAATAATCCAAACAACTGCAATGACGTGTTTCATCTTGCCCTCGAAAGGTCTCTTGAATGGATGAGCTACGGCGAAATACCGGTCAATAGCAATGGCAACACAGCTATATGCAGAAACAGCGAAAGACGTATTTATTGTAAAGTTAGACAGCTTGCACAGAGCATTACCAATGTCACCGCCAATAAGCCATTCACTGTCGAAATTTATTTCTATTATCTTGATGGGAAACAGCCCAGCAATAAGATCACTGACCGCCATGTTGGTTATTAAATAATTAGTGGTAGTTTTTAATCGTTTGTCCTTGTAGACTATCCACACTATAAGGAAGTTTCCGATCATGGCGATAAAGAATTGAAGGGAAAAGGCCACAGTCCATGGTATCTTGCCGTAATAAGGGTCAGAAATTGCATTATGAGTAGAGTTGCGAGAAGAATTATTAAACATCGTACACATCTATAAACCTCACGCCCTGCTTGTGATGTTCATTCTTTTATTCTTTATAACCGCAGACTACAAATCCGTCAGAAAATAATGATATTAAAAATGCAAGACATTTGAATTTTAACGCTGGAGTTTTCTTTTACATTTGTATTATCATGCAAGTGCGGTTACAAGACGGGTGATTTAGGCCGGATATTATCGGAAATTATGATTATAAATAGAAAAAACAAAGTACGTCTGAACGAGAAAAATGATGAAAAACAGCTAAAGTGTTGATCTGAAAAAATATATACATTTCCCTTTTCCCATCTATCCAATTGATATTCTTTCTTGAGTAAACTAATAGCAGATGGTAGGTCTTCGGAATTATAATCATTCACAGCAATTTTGACTAACTGATGTTAATGTACAAAGATCATCTTTTTAACGTATTTTGTCTTTTAACAGATGGTTTCTTCTAGCTAGATCTTTAAATAGACTGTAGTGTCTGTTGTGGGTGTTAATATGGCATAAATGAACCGGGGTATACTACTTCAGTGGGTGAGCAAAGATAAGAGATAAAGCAACAACTACATTGTCATCAAATAATGGCTTCATTTGGCGAGGCTATACTATTTCAAAGAGTATGGGGCAGTGCAGTACTTTCAAAATACTAATACTTATGAATAATGATAGTGCGATCAAATTCTCTCTTCCCCAT